TGTACACACAGGGGAGCTTTCACACTCCTTGTTCTTTTCTTGGTTGTGAACCGTCCGAACTGCTTAGTTCGGCCACTTCAGCTGCTGCTTTCGCTCGTCTCTCCTTCGAAGCTGCCTCCTTGCCCTGCTGGTTCTCGTGCTTTGCTCTCCGACGGCTCTGCCTTTCCAGCTGCTTCTTCTCCTTGAGCTTCTGGTTGGCTTCCGTCTGAGTTAGGCTCAGTAGCCCCGTCCGCAGGAAGGTGCGAAGGGTATCCTTCTCGGCATTGGCCTTTGTCAGGACATTGGCGATGTTCTGCTGGCCGTCGATCCATCTCGTGAAAGCGTTATCCTTTCGGACCGTTTCACGAAGGAGGGCCCCCTCTATCGCCATCCTCTTGTCGCTTGAAGTACTTGTGGCATCGCGCTGCAGGTAGTCGTACACCGACTTGGCGTCGGTAACATACACTCTCTTGCGCTTCTCGATGACAGCTGGCCATCCGCGAAGATCCACCTCACCAGTCAAAGCTTCCTCCAACAAGACGATGATCCAGTCGCCGGCCTCAACAGATTCCGCCAAGTGGCTAGCTTCCGCTGCCAAAGTCGAACGGCAGACTCGCTTCGTCTGCGAAGAGTGGAACGCCAGGATGTTGGCACGGACCTCGGCTCCATCCAAAATCTGCGGGTTCGCGGCCATGATGAAGTATCCACCAACGCTCTTGTACTTCATCTCTTCCTTATGGTCGGGCGTGCCATTGGCGTGGCCGGAATCGGCTAAGTGGACTATGACAGCCTCGTGCAAGTCCACATCTCCCCAAAAGCGCATCCGAAAATCTGCACCTCTTCGGGCTTGTCCGATATACTGTTTTAACTTCAGCATATCTGCCACGCAGACGTCGGCCTTGCATCGCTGGATGACGCCGTTCTCGTACGCCAAGTCACAGTGTAACTGACGGGCAAGCCACCCCAATTCGCCAGCATGACTCTGGAACCTTTCCTTCTCCTCCGGCTCCAGCTCCGACATCAGCTGCTTGCGTCGGATGCTATCCATTCGGACCGGCTTCATGCTCAAGGCGTAGTTCTTCATGGTGACGTCCACGTGACCACTGCCGGGGTGCTGCTTGACCTCACGACCACGGAAGATAAACTCATGAACATGGTTGGTCGCGAACTCTAAAGCCAGGGCGGACCTCTGAAAGGCGGAATCCAACAGGTTGGGAACCACACCGCCCTCAAGATCGTCTACATGGGTTATGAGGATTCCCAGCAAACGATTGGCTTTGCGAAGATAAAATAAAGCGGGTTCCAACTTGGATTCTTGCCAGCCATCGCTCTCGAGGTGCTCCTTCAAGGCCAGCCAAAAGAGGCGGGCCGCCTCGGCAAATCCGTAGATTGCCTTCTTGGCTCGAAGAAGTTGTCCCTTCTCCAATCCTGGCAAGCCACCTCGAGGTTGGTCGAGGTAAATTTCTCTGCCAACGTTCTTGCCACTAAAGTAAGCATTCTTGATGTCCTTTGCCAAAAGCGTGAACTTGAAGCTTGCACAAACAGCGAGGCAGACGCTCTCGGCTACCGCCGAAGCTGTTGGGGCATCTCTCCTGTAGTAACCCAGGGACTTGTCTTTGAACCCCTGCACAACCAAACGCGACTTTGCAAGGAACTCCTTCCCGACAATGCCAGGTTGGTATCACCAAGTCGGGCTTCTCCTGTCGGATGCGTTGGCTCTCCCGGAGACTCAGCACCTCGCAAGCCTCCTTGCTCTTCCAAGCTCCCCACTCTCGTTCGTCGGAACCTCCAGGGGCGGTGAAGAGTCGCTGGGTCTCCTGGCCCAGCTCGGCCAACTTGATCTCCTTACGCGCCTTCTTCTTGACCGCCTCGCCACTTGCTTGCCCTTGTGCAGCCAAAGCCTCGTACTTGTCCGAGAAGACATTTCGCCGCACTCCAAAGAGGAAATCGGACCGGTCTATGCCAAGCGTCTGGTACGCAAACTCGTGCCTCTCATAGTGCTCGGCCGCCTTGTTGGTCACATAGTCGTCCGACTCTGCTGCCAGGGAGGCGCTGAAGGTCTCGGCATAGTCGGCTGACGAGGACACCTTTAGCCACTTTGCTTCCCGCTCTGCCGCCTCCGCTGCCGGATCTTCGACGACTGGGGTCAGCTGTCTCCTTGGAGCTGCCTGGTGGTAATCATGGAGCTCTGGGCCGAACTCCTCCTCCTCTAGGTCCAGGTCGACGCCGCCACCCGGGTCGACAGGAGTGTCTATCGGATTCATGTCACTTCCGGCTGCTAGCTCGGCCTTACGCTCCTCGCGCTTCTTCTTTCGCCGCTTCTCCTGCGAGACAAAGAATTCGGATGACTTCCGGGCACGGCTCGCATCCCTTTCGGACTCCTCCCGGGCCATCAAAGAACGCGAGCTCCCGGATCCTCGCTCTCGACCGTCAGGCAGCTGTTCTGGATCTTCCCGGTCGTCACCTTGTGGGAGCTGTAGGTCTCCTTCGGGCAGATCCGGAAGTTCAGGGAGCGGTGCCTTCCGCAAGTCGATGAAGCCAGTGCCCCCGGCCACGGGGACCGTGTCCACCAACTCCAACTCCTGGTTCACGGCCATCCAGGATTCAACCTCTGGATCGTAAGCTCGCGACAAGTGCTCCGGGCTCACTGCTATGAGAATGCCACGGTGTGACACCCAAATCGTTCTGGATCCTTCTCGACCCACGACTCGGGCAATGCCTCGCCAGCAATTTGGCCCAGGTTCTTTCTCCGCAGCATCGAAGTAGAAGACATAGGAGCCAATGGGAAAAGGGCCCCGGCTGGGGCGGATCTTCCGCAGCTCGGCTCTTCTAAGGGCGTCCGAATTGGAAGCCTGTGCAAAGGCCTCCCTTGCCGCCATCCTCAACTGAGTCTTCCGAAACATCTTTGTTCCAGGCGTGGCCGCCAAAGCTTGTGCACCAAGTCTGCCGACCTCATCATCATCACAGAGGGTTGCCGGAAGTCTGGTCTGCCTCCCCAGGACCCATTGGGCCGGGGAAAAACCCCCACGCCGTGAGTCAGAGTTCTTGGCCTGGGTGACCGCAGCCGTCGCCATCAAAACCTCCTCTCTGCCTCGGACCTGTTGTGCCCAGGAGATCTTGCGGAAAGTCTACTTCCACAAGCCGCCGTGTCGCTCCACTTGTCCGATCTGCCATGGCGAAGCTCGGCTGGCCGTCTCGAAGATACAGCCGTGCTCGGCAAAATCGTCGGCGACATCGGCGATGAAGTACTTGGCCCTATCTGTTGCCACGCCTCGTTCTGGGTAACCAGCCCAGTTGAGCCAGTGCGAAGCGAGGGCCTCCATGACGACGATGCTGCTGGGGTTCGAGATTGTGTCACCCAAAAGTGCCGTGACCTGAAAGGTGGTGCCCTGACAAAGGATGTTGAGCCACGACCATTCCTGCCCCGCCGAGTCCCTCTCAGAAAACACGTCCAGGCCAATCTGGACATTGAACTCGTCAGTCATCGGCAGCCTTGCGGGTCGAGCATGCTTCTCTAACCCTCGTGGGCACTCCGGGCACCGGAAAAGCCGGCAAGCCTTCAAAGCCACTTCCGAAGCCCTAGCCAAGCGCATCGCCCTCAACATGGACTTGCTATCGGCATGCCCCAAGTTGACATGCACGCGCTTAATGGCCAACTTAAGCTCCCTTGGCAACGCCTGCCATTGTCGTTCCCGAACTTGTTCCCGACCATGCCAAGGATCTCCGTCTCCAGGCTCTCCGCCATCTCCGACTTGTCGGCCGAAAAGAACAAGGTAAAGCTTGCGGCCTCGAGCAACCAAGGGTCGGACTTGCGAAGACGGTGACATAGAGTACCAAGACTCCCACTCTGTACTCAGCCCGGTGCCATCATTCAGAAGGAGTAAGCTTTTCCTCAGTGGCACTTCATGTGGGCCAGCGTGTGGCTGTGGCTTCTTCATGCGTCGGGCCTTGCTGCTGCAGAGGATCAAAGAAACATCTGCATTACCAGCTTCGCTTGCTATCCAGGCCTTGCCTAGGTCGGTGTCCAAGTTGATCTTGTTCCAATCGGGGCCGCCCTCTTGCTGTATGTAGTCCAGGGTGCCATTCAGGAGCTCGAGCGTCTCATCTGACTCTAGCGCTATCCAAAAGCCCCTCTGCAGTTGCCGTGTACGTGGTCTGCCTCTCTGCAAAATTTTACGATCTAGTGGTGCCTCTCTCTCGTGTGGACCCTCTGCTGCGGGTGCTTCCTCAAAAGGCTCTACTAGGCGGCCTTCTTGGTCCAGTCCCACCGGACTTGGCTCGTACTCGGCAGCATCCTCCTCATACACGGCTGAGTCATAGGGGGCCGCTGACGACATGGGTGGTGCCTCTCTTTCGTGTGGACCGGCCTCTGCTGTGGGCGCTTCCTCCTCCCAGGCTCCTCCGGAATTTCGCAGAAGGAACTCGGTCTCGCCCGTCCACAACATGTCCATGGCTCTGGTTCTTCGGCTCCACGTCTCAGTGTGCCAGTCGTCCTCCAAATTTCGCCGTGTGCCATCCTGAAGCCGCATTCTCGTCCGCCTCGTCCCGAGGATGTCCGCAAAGTTGCAGGGCGGAGCTGTAGAGGAAAGTGGGACGAAAAGCTTCCGCCGAGGAACCCGGTGAACTCGTATGAGCTGCCCTTCTCCCCCGAAACGCCACTCATCCTCCAAAGGCTCTTCGAAATCCTCTTCGCCCGCTGAGTCGTTGATGTCCTCTCCATCTTCCAACATGTCGTCATCGTCCATCGCATAGACGCCTTCCCCTGCGGCACTGCCGCCGTACGACATGGCAATGGCATAGTCTAGGCACATGCTTTCAACAACTCCTTGGCAGATATTGCGGCACAACTCCTTGGGGTAGGCTGCTGCTTGCGCTGCTCGGGGCCCGGACGCGTTGTTTTCAAGGAGAACTTCATGCGCCCCGGGCGGGCACCGACATTGCTTCCCAAGTTGGTTCAGGAGTGGCTCGCAGTTGGTCAGCCAGCCGGTCCGCTTCCGTATCGGCTTGCCGCTGGTGCTGTCCCGAAGTCCATATCGACACTGATCTCCACAAGCGAACTTGCCGTCCTCCTTTTCCAGCAACTCTGCGAGGATCTTGTCAAACACCCAGGCTACGGAGGCGGCGGGATTCTCCAGCAGATAGTACCTGCCAGCTCGCCTTTGCCTCCGACAGATCCGCAACACCAACTGCAAGGTTCGCTTCCCCAGGCCACGTCTCAAAGCTGCCCAATCCTTCCACGGCGACATGTTTGTGAGGGCTGACCATATCCTGCAGTCGAAGGCTATGATCACCAGGTACGGCCGGTGTTGGTCCAACACATTGTTCACCAACTTCTCGCCGCTCTTGCTCAGCAAGTCGTAGCCGTCCTGGAGGTCAAGGGGCTGACTGCAAGTCCAATTGAGCTCCTCGAAGGCCAGCCGAGTCACTCCAAAGCTGCCGCCAAAGGGCTCGAAGACAACCGTGTTGCGGAAGCCGTTGGTGCACCACTGCTCGGCCATGGAGAAGCTACGTCGAAGTGCACCACGGGCTCTCTTGTCCAAGGTCGCCTGCTTGGCCGCGGACCTCTGCAGCTCTCGCACCCTTCTCTCACTCAAAGTGCCCTTGGGGTCTGTCCCTTTTACGCCCCGAGCTCGAAGGTCTGGGGCGGCGCTCGTTGTAGTGAACGCCTCCTCTGGTGGTACATGTGGTGCGGACACTTGTGAAAGCAAAGGCAACCTCGCCTCCTCCAAGAAGTAGACCAGAATGTCCTCTGCCTCCGAGACCACGCGCGGATGGCTGCTGCCTTCTGGGGGCTTGTCCCCGGCGGGCTCCTTCGCCCATTCCTTCCCCAGCTCGGGCGCCACACGAATGGCCAAGTGCTTTGTCCACGTGACCAACATGGGCACCTCTAAATCTACGGCCTGCACCGCCGCCGTCCGAGCCTTCATGTGGAGCACCATGTCCAGACCGCTCATCGCGGGAATCAACAACAGGAGCGGTGTGTTGCCTGTGGTGACCTCCGCTGAGTACACCTGGCCCGGTACGTTGCCCACAAAGATCGGCACCTGCCACACCACCAATTTGTCGGGGGTGCTCTGGCCGTTGGCGAAGTGAAAGGTTTTCCTTGTCGGAGTCTGGGCGCAGACGAAGCCAGGTGGAAGCCATCGAGAGTAAGCCTCGCGCCATTGTTTTGAGTGGAGACACGAGGTACACGCTGTGTCCAGGAGGGCCACGGCTGACTCGTCCAACTCGCCATCGGCGCCGTCTTGGAGCCGATGATGTCCTTGGTCCAAATTGGTACCAGTAAAGGCATGCTTCAAATTCTCTTGCATTGGCGGGCTCGTTTGAATAAATTCTCGCTCCTTGGGCTCTATGTGCCCCGGATCGATCAGGCCTGCAGGAGGGCCACGATTGACATAGGCGAAGTCCGTGACCGAAGGTGAAACTTTTGCATCTTCTGCCTCTGGCTGGCAACCGTCATGGCTGCCCGCCGCTCTCGGCCCTGACGGCCTTTCTGATCTCCAAGACCTTGTCCAGTTCCATTGTGAACTTGCAGCTCTTGCTGGTGGCAAAGTTCGGGCATCCAGCGAAGTAGGCTGTTCCATCATGGCGCCGGCGCAGGACCATACAAACGCCACATACCATGCACATAGCTTCGGGGATAGACTTTCCGACCTCCATGTCCGCAGGGACCTCCAGGCCGGTGCGCGGGCAGACGACAGCCTCCTTCCTGCCCATCTCGGTGGACAGTGTCGGCACGAAGCTTCGAAAAGAACGGCTGGCTGCCGCGTTCTCGGTTGTTGCCCTTGCCGTCGTCGAGCGCGTCTCCGTCCTAGTCGGGGCTCCCGTCTCTGCCTTCAAAGGCGTGCTTGTAGAAGTGGAGGCCGCCGCTGACGAAGAAGCGCTGCCCATGGTTGCCGCCGCCGCCGCTGCCACAGAAGGTGGCTGCTTTGCACCGAACTCAACCAACTGCACGAACTTCCTTGCACAGCCTTTCTTCTCGACCGGCTCGCCGCCATACAGCTTGCGAAGCCTCGCCAGGATCTCCTCCTTCTTGCCTTGCGTCTGTACTCCCCAGCGGTCGCAGTCACACTGCAGCTCGCGAACTCGAAGGCGGTCCAAAGCTGCCGGCCGGGCGTCGTTGAAGGAAGTCACCTTGATCTTTTCGATGTCACCGGGCTTGACCGTGATTAAGAGCTGCTTGCCCACTGGCTCATCCACAGGGCGCCCGCTGGACTCCGGCATCGGGGGTGCAAAGCTTGTTGGGGCCGCATAGCCACCCGCTGCCCCAGAGACCACGTCCCATTCGCTGTCGGCCTCGGTGCGCACTTTGCGCGGCCGGCGTCTTGCTCCATGGGGCGGGCCTCCTTCTTCTCGTCCTGCTCCTGGTCGCTGCTGTGGAGAACCATGTTGCAGTACCCCGGCTCGGCCTCATCGCCAGACCCGTCCAGGCTGAAGTAAAGAGGGGACTCCGACACCAAGTAGGCTTGCCCCTTCCTGGCATGGCCTTTTCCACGTCCTTTCTCTGGCTTTCGGCCGCCGCCCTTTCGGGGACCCGCACTGCTGCGTTTGGAACATTGAAGATCACCTGACCAGTGACCGAGCTTGCCGCAGGTGGCACACCTTGTCCTTGCCTTTTCCTTGTTGATGGCCTCACGGCGTGCCTCGGCATTGCCCTCCTTGCCTCCCCGGAAGAAGCCTCTGCTGCGCTGAACCTCTTTCAGGCGTTGACGGCTTTCCTTGTACGTGGCATAGGCGTCATAGACCTCGTCGTCATTCGATGCGCCCGCGTCCGACAGCATCTCGGCATCTTCCTCGGCGCCGGCCTCCATGGCAAAGTCGTGGCCGCCCTCCTGGTCGTTCAGGTCGTCCTCCTCGACGATCTCGGCCTCGCTCGACTCGATCTCCGCCATGTGGGCGTACTCCCTTCGCCGTCCGGCGCCTTTGGGGTGCCGTCGAAACTGCCCTTGGCCTTGCCACTCTCGACCCTGTCCTCTCTCCCTCTCATGGAGGTCGTGGAACGACACCCTGAGCGACTGCTCGATGCCCTGCAGCGAGTAGTTCGACTGATTCGAGAGCAAGATGGACGGACCTCTTCTCCTCCTTGCTCAGGTTGCCGTTCTTCAGCACAAAGTAGGCCAGCAGGTCCTCCGACATCGAGATGCCCTCGGCCAAGTCTCGAAGCTCATCCCAGCTCTGCTTGCGCTGCCGAAGGTAAGAGTCAATGCTCTGGCCCTTCTTCCGGTAGCACTTGTCAAAGAACTGGTCGAACGCCTCGGTCTTGCGGATGACCCCGGCCTTCTCGATCTGTCCAAGGGCCTTAAAGATCTCCTTATAGCCGTCCGGAGCCTTCAACTTCTCGTTGTCCAGCATGAGGTCTTGGCAGGCCTTCCAAGCTTCTCCATGAAGAGCATCCAGAAGCTTCCGGGCGAACCTGCGCTTCTTCTTTTCCAGGGATCTGGCCTCCTTTGTCTCGTCGTCGCCACTCCCCTCAAGGCTGTTGTAAGCAAGCAGCACTCGCCGCCTGTACTCTCGGACCAGTGCCGGTTGAGCTCCCGTGTAGTGGGGGATGCCGTCCCGGTCCACCAAGATCTCGTCGTCTCTCCAGTGCGGCGCCGAGGAGCCAGCAACGGAAGAAGCCATAGCTAGGCACGGAACCAGTAGGCTCCGCTACCAGTGCGGAATGCACTGGCAGCTGGAGC